ATTTATCTTCTTCAACTATAAATTCAATCTCAACTCCATTATAGAACAAAACTCTAATCAATGAAATTACAAACACGTTAATTTAAAAAATTATTTTTAACGAATCGAACATGGTTGTTAACATCAAGAAGTCTGATGTGAGAGGGTTTGCCGTCCACTGCCAACTGAGACAACTGCTCTGACACTGCATCCATAGGGTAGCAAGGTTCGATCTTGACAACATGGCTATAGAGAAAGAGCTTCCGCATGAAGTTTCAAATGATATCAAACTGCTTCGTCTCAAATTTCAGGAAAATGGTGAATCAAATGTGTAAGAAATTGAGCCGATAAAGGATAAGAGAATCAGGAGAATCGACAAGGATTCTGATGATGTTGAACTGGTTGGACTTCGGCTTAAGGAGTCTGATATTATGTTAGATGATGCTTAGGCTCTCCACTATGTTGTTACATACTGTGATCCTAAGGTTGTTAAGGAGGTTCTCGGTCTAGGCAATGCAATGAATTGTGGAAGTAGTATCCTAAGGTTGTTGAGGAGGCTCTCCACCATACTGTCATACTGCCTAATTCTGAATGCCATCAAGACATCACGCTAGGGGTGTTTTTGACTCTTGCCGTCGAAAAGAATGACTAACAGCTTCCTTAATTTTGCAGTGGCATTTGCATGGTTGTTGTTTCATGTTGAGGTCAAGCTTGCCATGCATTTGCGCGGTTTTATGATTATGCAGAAGTAAAAAATAAAAAAAACATGAAGTATGTATACGCAATTGATGTGAAAAATGTTGGGCGTATGTATAAAATGTAAGGTGTATTAAGATAAATTTTAAGTGAAAAAACAAAGGTTAAATTACACAAAACTACCTTAATTATAAGTCGATTACAATATCATACCTCATGTTTTAAATATTGCAATATCAAACCTCAACTTATAAATTCGTTGCAATGTCAAATCTCTGTTAAATTTTTTATTAATTTGACTATTAAATGATGATGTGACAGGAACGAGGCTCACACATTCGTCAACTGGGATAAAAAAATTAATTAATTATTAATTTTTATTTAACAATTAAATGTAAACAAGTATTTTAATCAGTTATTTTGACAAGAATATTTTATTAATTGAAAAGACACAGTTAAAACTCCCAAAAAAAAAAAACCAAAAACAAAAAAAATCAGAAGTCTGCCTTCTCGTCAAGCAGCCCTCTTCGCAGGTCGGCCGGCTTGTCGCTCTTGTTTCGGCAAGAACCAGATCCACCACGCTGTGAAAGTACTTTCATGTTGCTCCTCCTTCTTCCATCTTCTCTCCTCTTCTTCTGTCTCCAACATTTCACATTTGTTTCTCTGGCGGCCCCGAGTCAGAGTCAGAAGCCTCTTTCCTCGTCGTCTTCGTCGTCCTCCGTGGAACCTGCTGCTACCTCCACGTTTCCAAGCAGTCACCCATGGAGGCCGCGAAGGCCATTTATGAAGGAAATCTGAGGCCGCAACGGAGATTCTCACCCGATTGACCACGACCCAACTTTAAAGATCCAATTTTTTCACAGAAACTTGTCAATCGTTTCGAATGTGAAGATTTTCGATTTCGATTGAGGAGAAATTCAACTTTACCTCTCGGGCTATGTAGATATAGCCAAATTTTCCCTTTTTGAAGGGATTTTCCGATCTCAAATTCCCACTGGTTTTCTTGTGTTTTCTAGGGTTTTGATTCCATTCCCTCTGATTTTTAAGGAATGGGTTTTTTGGGGAATTGAAGCTACACAAAGAGAGAAGAGATTAGACGGCCTGGGATTAACACTTCCTCCTTCAAACCCACGGAACCATGGGGATCCTCCTTCAAACACACCGCTTATAGGTGCCACAAATTCCATATTTGAGGTGAAGATGAAGCCTGTAGCTGTAGGTGCTCGGGTGGGAAGAACATTTTTTACTTTTTAATTAATAATTTTTTTCTTTTTAAATAATTTAATTAAAGGGATTATTAACTTTTTTTTGTTTTGTCCTATTGTTAAAATTTAAAATTTAAAATATAAGGTATGAAGTTGTGGTTCGACCCAAACTTGAGATAATTTTATGTAATTTATCCAAAAACAAATGTGAGGTGTTTAATAATTTATGGTGTGTTAATAAAACAAATTTTATTTATTATTTTAATTAGATTTCCACTTTTGTTAGAGGCCCCTATTAGGTGGGACTTTATTTTCTGCCATATATATTATGTTGCCGAGTCCTAGCTAGTTAGAGTTTTTATGTGATATTTACTGAACGCACTGAGGCTTTTGGACGAATTTTATCTTTTCTCAAGGGTGTTTTTCTTTACTTCTTCTTAATAATATTTGCTTTTCAATTATGAATATACGTAATTAATTTCTTTTATTAGGACGGGGCCTTGAATCTTAGCATGATTATGTAGTTTTTTTTTAATTTTTTTAATTTTTAATTTTTTATCAATTTTCTTATGATATTATACATGCATGCTTTGAATTATATATTACAACGTTTAAATCATTTGGCTTGACAAATGGCCACTATTACGATATTTAGACAAGTAGTTTGATGCAATATCTGATGGAATATCACTTAATCATCGCGTTTAAACTATCCATGTCTCTTGATGATAGGTCATCATTAGGATATTTAGACAAGTAATTTGATGCAATTTCTGTTGGAATATCACTTTGAAATTGAGTAGAGCTTCTTGTGATTGATATCACTGAAGGTGAATATCACGTTAAAAGTTGCATGCATGGTTTTTCCAAAAATTTTCACAAAACTTAATGAGTCTTGCATATTGATATTTGATCTGAAGATTACATATGGATTACATATTAGATATACGTTCTAACTTGAATATCATGATTCATGAGTTGGATATGCATTGGGAAAACCTAATCTTCCAAGTATATATGTGGTAATAGTTGAATATCAGAGTGTGTGACGAACAAAACTACAAAATAATAAGAATATTATTAAACAAACGAGAATGCCGAAACGGTTACAAAATCCCAAGAGACTACATCGTAACTAACTTTACTTCATACTAAACTATAAGTTATATTTATAGAGAGCAAAACCTAGAAACTCTAATTTGAATGGGCTAAGCCCATATATTAAACTAACAAGCAAACTCAAATAATCAAATAACCATAAATACTAATATTTTCTAACACCCCGTCTTACTCATGGAGGTATACGACATGGGTTTGCAAACAAACAGATGTGGACTGGCAGGCATGCAAACTTGACTTGATTGGCGAACTGACGAATTGATTTAGATTCATATTGGCTACTATTGAGAGTATGGATAGAACCCGTCACTAAACGGATAAGATTTCCATATCTCAATTGTAGCAACAAATAAACAAAAAAAAAAAAGTACTATTACTCGAGTGGTCACATGTCCATGTCAAAGCACCCGAGCAATCGTTGTGATGAGGAACAACGTGCTCCAAAACACAAGGCCATTAGCATTAACACTTGGGCTGCAAAACCTTTAAAACAACCAACTTCATTTTCCTCTTTGACCGTGTGGGCCTCAAGGAACCAAACCTTGTTTTTTTCTTTTTCTTTCTCCCGGGATTTTTTTCGAACGCTTTCCTTCAACAAAAATAATTTTTTCTTGCATTGAACCAATCTTCCTCTAGAACAACAGCAACAAAACGATCAGATTCGTGGATCGGTGGATGTAGCAGCGCAACAAGGATGGAGAGGTTCACGGCTGATTTGCAGGTGGTGGGTGGGCGCGGGAGATGCAAGCAGGCGGCGAGACTGGTTCGAGGCTAGCGAGATGCAGGTTCAATGGGTACGGATCAATTGCGTGCATTTGCAGCGTCAGATGCGAACAATAGTTGGATCGTACAGGTCCGAGTTCTGGGCAGCAAGGAGGTGTGACTGGGCTGGTGGTGCGGCAGTGATGATCAATGGCAGGCGATGGTTCGAACTGGTGCAGAGGCAGGAGCAAGTGCAAGCTGAGCGATTTCTGGGCAGGATCTGGTGCGAGCGGTGGCTTCGGTTACGTACTTAGGTTTTGGCGATGACAGGTTTTGTTTTTTATTATTATTTTTTCAAACTAAACCAACGACAATCTAAACAACGAACAAGACGGACAAACAAACTGATACAAATCAAGGGCAGATTAAATTTCAAAGGATAAAACCTACTCTAATACCAAGTTGAATATCAGAGTGTGCGATAAACAAGATTATAAACAAACGAGAATACCAAACCGGTTACAAAATTCCAAGAAACTATATGGTTATTAACTTTACTTCGTACTAAACTATAAGCTATATTTATAGAGAGCAAAACCTAGAAATCCTAATTCAGTTGGGTTAAGCTCATATACTAATTAAAAAACAACTCAAATAATCAAATAACCATAAATACTAATATTTTTCAACATTACAAATAATTGGTAGAACTATATAGGATTGTTAATGACGATAACTAAACCCCAGTACATTTTACATATGATTTTTCCAAAACTATTTTCTTTTCTTGCTGCCGGTTTTTCTTGAAGTTGGTTTCAATTATTTTATTTTCTATTTTTTTAATTTAAATTCACAATTTCAAATCTTTCGAAACTTCTGTTGAATATATAGTTAATTAAGAATTGTTTTTAAATTAAATAATCCATATCAATTCTTGTTGTGGAGAATGACATTATTTGAACTGTTTCTACTTTAATAATCTTATTCTCTTGCATTTAAGCGTTTTTAATTCTTTTTTGTAAATGGTAAAAATCCTATCAAATATCGTTTGTAATCATACAAACTTACAAACTTATTGTCAAAACATAAAAATATTAATTAACTACTATTGTTAAAACAAAACAGATTTAGCTTATAAATAGAAGTCTTAAAATAAATACATGGTTTACCACTAGATAATATAACTTCAATCACATATAAAATTAGTAAAATGGATATTTAGAAAGCCTACATTTAGCTAATATTTAATCACAAAATCGACAAAGTTCTAGCTGAACGAGGATCTGCTTTTAGGCCGTCTAAATATATCCTGCCCATAACTAAGACTAAGCGAAGCAACAAAAGGCAGACTAGACCAAGAGTTGCTGACGCCATGTGGAAAGTTCCTGTCCATGCAACTTACTAAGTCATGACAGTCATCCATTTTCTACGTGGTTCACTCTCTGTCGCCTTCCGGTCTTGAGGTCGTCAGGTATATAAATCCCCTCAAGCGTTCAGGTCTTGAGCAAGTCTTCAGATTTAGGGTACAGCAAAGTAAGTTTAATCTGTAGTAAATAAAGGGTAAAAAAAAAAAAAAACATAAAAGCAGAAGCGCAATGGCGGGTGGTGGATTTGGGGCCGCAGGAGGAGGGGGAGATTTTGAGGCAAAGATCACGCCTCTTGTGATCATTTCTTGTATATTGGCCTCTACCGGAGGCCTCATGTTTGGTTATGATGTTGGTATTTCAGGTACGTACATACGTATGTGTGCCATTAGGTCATCACACCTCGCTAAGAGCTAATTTGCTCTATCTCATGTGTGCATGCATTAGGGGAAAATTGTAACTCAATCAATTCATAATGCAAATTATGCAGGGGGTGTTACATCCATGCCAGAGTTCCTGAGAAAGTTCTTCCCCAGCGTCTATAGAAAGAATCAACAGCCCGGACTTGAAAGCAATTACTGTAAATACGATAATCAAGGCTTACAGCTGTTCACGTCTTCATTGTACCTCGCTGCACTGGTAGCAACCTTCGTTGCGATGTACACTACCAAATCACTAGGCCGGAAGCTAACCATGTTGATGGCTGGCGTTTTCTTTCTAATCGGGTCAGTTCTAAATTTTGCAGCTCAGAACCTTGTCATGCTTATCATTGGGAGGATCTTACTTGGTTGTGGAGTTGGTTTTGCTAACCAGGTTCAAATAACTACCTCTAAATTATATCAATCTAAACTCTTAGTTTCCATTGTAAGTAATTAAGGTATGTATATGATACAGGCGGTGCCACTTTTCCTTTCGGAGGTTGCACCCACAAGAATTCGTGGGGCACTTAACATACTCTTCCAGCTCATGTGCACCATTGGCATTCTTGTAGCAAACATGATTAATTATGGAACTGACAAGTACGTAATTAAGCCAGCTTCCCACTTCAACCCAAATTATTATTAGCTAGCATAATATTTATTTGATTAACTAACTTATATCAGATGCATATATGCAGAATTAAGGGGAACTATGGATGGAGGATATCACTGGGTTTGGCTGGCGTTCCAGCACTCATGCTAACCTTGGGGTCTCTCATTGTGGTCGACACTCCAAACAGTTTGATTGCTCGTGGTAAATTGGAAGAAGGAAAAGCAATTCTTAAAAGAATTCGGGGTGTAGACAACGTAGAACCAGAGTTTTTAGAAATTGTGGAGGCAAGTCGTGTGGCTAATGAAGTAAAAAGTCCCTTCAAAAACCTCCTGAAGCGTAGGAACAGGCCTCAATTGATCATTGCAATTTTTATGCAGGTGAACCTATAGCCTATAGTTGTGCATGTTAACTAATTAATTTACGCAGTATATGACAACTTTGAGTCACACAAATATAATAGTCTGACATGTTATGCTTTTGAGTGTTCTTAACAGATTTTCCAGCAATTCACTGGAATTAACGCAATCATGTTCTACGCTCCCGTTTTGTTCAAAACCTTGGGATTTAAGAGTGATGCTTCCCTTTACTCATCAGCGATAACAGGAGCTGTCAACGTCCTCTCAACCATGGTATCAATCTACTTTGTGGACAGAGCTGGTCGCAGAGTGCTCTTGCTAGAAGCAGGTGTCCAAATGTTCCTTTCTCAACTGGTGGTTGCAATAGTGATGGGACTCAAAGTTAAGGACAATGTTAACAACCTCGGACATGGATTGGGAATTCTTGTGCTGGTTTTTGTGTGCATTTTTGTTGCCTCCTTTGCGTGGTCATGGGGACCTCTCGGGTGGCTGATTCCTAGTGAGACTTTCCCATTGGAGGCCCGCTCAGCTGGCCAGAGTGTGGCTGTCTTTTTCAACATGCTCTTCACATTTATCATAGCGCAAGCCTTCCTCTCAATGCTTTGCCACATGAAGTTTGCCATTTTCTTATTCTTTGCAGCTTGGATTTTGGTCATGACAATCTTTGTGATCTTCTTACTTCCAGAGACCAAGGGAGTTCCTATTGAAGAAATGACTGAACGAGTATGGAAACAACATTGGTTCTGGAAGCGATATATGGATGAGGTTGAAGTTGATCCCAAGGCTAAAGCGGATGCTTGAACCATCTTACGGTCTCTATATGGTGGTTGCTAACGTTGCAGCTGGTTTCTCAAATTTCTGCCTTTGGAAAATTTCTTTCAATTTTCTTTATCACAATTGTACGTACTATTACAATGTAGATTTAAATATTTCTTTGATACTAAAGATTTTCATTTTTCAGATTTAGTTGGAAATTATCTTCTCTCATACTTTTTTCAAGATACTAAAGATTCTAGCAAGGATGTGTTAAATATTTGTTCTGTGGCAGATTATCATTGTAGCAAGTGATATAGAGCAGCTTCCTCGAAGAGATATCTTACTAATGCATTGAATTTGTTCATTTTTGTTGCCTTGACATACCAATATTAATCAACTCATCATCCCATAGAAGATGGTGATGTTTATAAACGGATGAATATATCAGAAACTGCTCCTACCAAGTATAAACATACCATTTTGTATAACATATTTCAGTTTTATTTCTGAAAAATACTGTCAAAGTACAGAAGGAGTACATTTTGGAAGTGCAAATAATGCATCTCAAAACGTAAACGAAGCATTTGGCATGCAGAGAGCTCCGGTTGTTTGGCAACCATCTAGAAGTAAAGGAAGGATTAGTTAATCCTAAGCTTCACATTTAAGGAACTCATGAAATGTAATAAACCGTGAGGAAGAGACCGGAGGTGAGATAGTTCAAACATGGCCCTTGGGATCATCTTCAAAGTCATCCATGAATCTCTTCCAGAACCAATGTTGCTTCCAGACTCTTTCTGTCATCTCTTCGATCGGGACACCCTTGGTCTCAGGAATTAAGAACACGACAAAGATTGTCATGACAAGGACCCAAGCACAGAAGAACAAGAAAATGCCAAACTTCATATGGCAAAGCATTGAGAGGAAGGCTTGTGCTATAATAAAGGTGAAGAGCATGTTGATGCACACAGCCACACTCTGGCCGGCTGAGCGAGCCTCCAGCGGGAATGTCTCACTAGGGATCAACCACCCAAGAGGTCCCCAAGACCATGCAAAGGAAGACACAAAGCTACAAACCATAACCACTACAAGGATTGCCAAGCCTGGAGTAAGGTTGTTAGAGTGTTCCTGGACTCTGAGTCCCATGACTATTGCAACCACCAATTGAGAAAGGAACATCTGGACACCGGCTTCTAATAAGAGAATGCGGCGACCAGCTTTGTCTACAAAGTAGATTGATACAACGGTTGATAGCACGTTGACAGCTCCTGTTATAACAGCCGAGTAGAGGGAAGCATCACTTTTAAAACCCAAGGTCTGAAACAAAACTGGAGCGTAGAACATGACTGCGTTGATGCCAGTGAATTGCTGGAACACTTGCATCATAACTGCAATGATCAGTTGTGGCCTGTTCCTACGCTTAAGAAGATTTTGGAAGGGATTCTTTACTTCTTTAGCCACCCGACTTGCCTCAACAATCTCTAAGAATTCTGGATCCACATTGTCAACACCACGGATCCTTTTAAGAACTGCCTTTCCTTCCTCCAACTTGCCCCGTTCGATCAAACTGTTAGGAGTGTCTACCACAATGAGAGACCCCAAGGTTAGCAAACCTGCTGGAATCCCAGCCAAACCCAATGACACTCTCCATCCATATCCTCCTGTAATTCTGTGCATGTATGGTAACGCAAAATAATAATTATATTTAAGTGATTGGAAAATATTACTACACTAAAATTTGTTGGTTCAGGTATTGTCCTTTTGAATTAGCTAGGCAAGATTTGGCTGGCTTACTTGTTAGTTCCATAATTGATAAGGTTTGCAAAAAGAATGCCAATGGTGATATTGAGTTGGAAGAGGATGTTAAGTGCCCCTCGAATTCTTGTGGGTGCAATCTCCGAAAGGAAAAGCGGTACCGCCTGTAGTTATGTACATTTGCTTAATAATTGTACGTATTGTGTTCAAAACATTTAACAGGAAAAACCAGCTAGTGAAGTAGTGGCCAGTTTATTGAAAACAAAAAGGAATTATTTAGAATTTTTATTATATACCTGGTTAGCAAAACCAACTCCACAACCAAGTAAGATCCTCCCAATGATAAGCATGAGAAGGTTGATAGCCGCCGCATTAAAAACTGTTCCGACTACAAAGAAAATCCCCGCAATCAACATAGTTAACTTTCGACCTAGCAATCTGGTTGTGTACGATGCAAAGAATGTTGATATTAATGCAGCGAGGTATAATGAAGATGTGAACAACTGCAAGCCTTGATTATCGTATTTGCAGTAGTTGCTCTCAAGTCCAGTCTCTTGAGTCTTCCTATACACAACCGGGAAGAATTTCTTTTGGAAATGGGGCATGGATGTAACACCCCCTGCGTTATATATCCATATATCAAATTAAACAAAATTATACGTTAAATCTAATGAAGTTTTGACAAAACACATACGCTGGTAGTTAATTGTATGTGTGGATGTTACGGAAAGCTCTTGAGTCACATATGTGTACCTGAGATACCAACATCATAACCAAACATGAGGCCTCCGCTAGCAGCCATTACGCAAGAAATGATCACAAGAGGCGTTATCTTTGCTTCGAAGTCTCCGCCTCCTGATGCGTCCCCAAACCCACCGCCCGCCATGGTTTCTTGCTCTTAATTAAGTACTCAAACCTTATTTTGCTGCACTTTATTTCACAGGTATCGAATTTGATAAATGCGGAAATTTTTGTATGTATTGATGACCTAAGGAAACTTCAGAAGAAGAGACTAGCTCGTTGAAATAAGACGTGTTCATGTGGGGTTTATATACTGAAAAACTTTATGGCAACACCAAGTGAACTACGTAGAAAGTGGATGATTTAGTCACTACCACGACCAGGATCTTTCCCCATGGCATGATCTACGGTTGATTTTCTTTCTTGATGCTTGGTTAGGCATTCACGAGAAGTTAGTTGCACTAAAGTTGATCAAGTCTGTTAAGAGTAACGCTTGAACGACCACATTTCTTTGCGATATGTGGCAGTTAATCCGTCAACTCTTACATACATTTGTCTGAAACTGCCTATAGGAATCTCGTATGCATAGGTTTATTTGATAAAATTTCATATTTGCCACAGAAGGATTAAAGGTGACACTTGTGCACTTTTGCGGCTATTTAATTTTGACTCTCCGCATTACTCTCCTTTTTATTCCAAAGGAAGTTAGACTTTCTAAGACCTAGGAAAAAAACTACCGTCTACAAAATATATGGGTTTGTTTAATGACATAACAATTTCTATGATGTCAAAAGTTGTTCTAACACAAGTAGATATAATTCATACGAAATCCAAATCTTATATACCCTCCAAATTCTCAAGGATCTAATGCGATTAAAAATATTAATATGAATGCTCTCCACCTGCTATATTTCACATGTTAAAACTGCTTCTTCAAGAACTGAGCACAGGTAAGAGCTTAAGTGATCACCTGCCAAGCAAGAAACCAATTTCTCTCCTTTCTTTTCCTCTCTTCATTCACCATAATTTCTTTCCTCCCCTCTTCCATAATGGCTTGACTTATCCTTTTTTCTGGGCTAATCAATACTACCTCCTCTTGTGACACTTGTGCACTAACGTACAACATCACACGTTGTTTCTCAGCGTGTTCCCTCCCTTTCTACCCATTAAGCTCACACGCGATAACTGTTAGTGTTTAAATGTGTTTGGATTTGAATTTTGGTGGGATTTGATGAAATCAACAAGAAATTGATTAGCTCGGAGAGTTGGATTCTCAGACAACAATGGAGAAGGAAAAGTGGGATAGGTTGCTCCCTTAGATTCAGTTCAACTCAATTACACCTCACACTGAAAACATGAGAAGGATATAGACGTTGCAATCCTTCACACTTTCAGCGTGATCATCACATGCTAGACACATGATTACTTACTTACATCAACAAACTTGACATGTGGCACGATATACACCCTCGAAATGTTATAATCATGGCCATCCATTACAAATAAGCACAAACATAAAACTTAAGAGCATTTCTAACTTAAACCCAGAAGCTAATTCTCCAACATTTCAATTCTTCAATCTTGCAGCAACAGAGCTTATAGCTCACCACTCCCTTCTAAACTTGTTGCCACTGTCACTCCTTGCATTTCTCTAAGCATGTAGAACCTGTCTTTTAGCAGAGTCTTGGTGAATATATCTGCCAATTGTTCCTCAAATTTGCAGTAGACCAAGTTGATGATATTGGATTGCAATGCAACCCTAATGTAGTGGTACCTTTTGCCAGTGTGCTTTGACCTTTGATGGAACATAGAATTCTTTATCATTGCAATTGCAAAGGTGTTATTACAATAATAAGAGTGGCCTCAGTTTGTTCTTCTCCAAGTCTTGTAAGTTGTAACACAAGCTTGAGCCACACTGCCTAAGTTGTTGCTTCAGCATAACTCATGTACTCAACTTCTACAATTGGTAAGGTAACATAGTTTTGCTTGACAGAAGTCCAAGAAAAGATACCACTGCCAAATGAAAATGCATAATCTGAAGTACTCTTCATATTAGATTCATCCCCACTCCAGTCACTATCATAATATCCAATCAACGATGTATCTTTGCACTTCTTGTATCCAATTCCATAATCCAATGTGCCTTGAATATACATGAGCACTTTTTAACAGTTCTAGGATGTTTCTTGTTTGGATTATACATGTACCTTGCTAAAAAACTTGTTAAAAACTTAATATAAGGCATAGTTGTAGTAAGATACAACAAACTACCAACCAATTGCCTATATAAAGTTTCATCAGCAGGACCACTTCCTTCATCTTTCTTCAATTTGTCATTCATTGCCAAAAATACCACTTACTAGCTTGCAATCTTTGAATTTAAACTTCTCAAGCAAAGCCAGTGCATACTTCTTCTTTAACAATCACAAATCAGTCATTTCACATATTCTCATCATGTCTAATTTGAATTCATTTAGCAATTTTGATTTATATTAGTGTACATTATATGATCCACATATATTGACACAATAGTAGATTCAGATTCACCTCTAGTCTTGATGTACAAGGTAGCTTCACTAGGACTCCTTGTAAAACCATACTTATGAAAATGAGTATCAATCTCTTGATACCAATCCCTTGGTGCTTGTTTAAAATCATATAGGGCTTTCTTAAATATGTATACCTTGACTTCAGCTTCAGCAATCTCAAACGACTCAAGTTGATCAACAAATACCTCCTATTGTACACCAATTTAACCCCATCAATAGATTTATATGTTAGCCTATCAACCAACTACCATGAGTTATTCTTCTCTATCATCTTAATTTCTGCATTCATTGTTATCTTCCAAGCATTATCAGTTGCTGCTTCCTCATACTTCCCAAGTTTAATAATGCTAACATTACATCTAGCATAAACATCACTGAGTGATTTCAGTTTCATAGAAATGCTACTTAGGCTACTTGTCTCTCCGAATTTAGTTTGAGAATCAACAAACACTTATGACTAGACATTACTCCCTTCTAACTGAAATGCCTCATCATCATTCTCTTGGATCATTTCAATCACCTTGTTCTTCTCATTCAAATTCAAATTCACAGGAATGTCATTGAATTATCATTTTTAGGTTTCTCATCCTAAATGCCATTGCTAATTGAAACTATGAACTTGGTGAATGTTTCGAGCGCTTGAGTCACTTCCTATTAAAAACGATCCATGCTCTTATTTTCTGACTCATTTCTGCTGGACTGCTTGGCCTCATCTGATAATGTGTACTTCTTTGCCAAAGCATACGAAGCTATCAGGGTCAGTTCCTCACCCATGATAAATTCTCCGAATAAATGATGCTCGGTGGGAAGCCCATTTCTAAACGTTGTCGTTGCTATGTCATCATTGCAACTAACAATCTTACCATTCTATACCTTGAACCTTTTGACACAGTTGCAGATTGACTCGTTCAGGTTTTTCATGATGTTGAAGAGGTGGTCGGACGTCTTTTTAATTGAGCAGTAAAACGAATATTCCTTAGTGAAAACTAAAGAAAGTTCATTAAAGATATGGATCGAACGCAAAGGCAGGGTGTGGAACCAGCCTTGCGCTCACCTTGTAGAGTGGTGGTGAAAATCTTGCACATACGGGCATCATTGCTCTAGTAAAGGATCATCACGATGCGGTAATGCATAAAGTGCATATCCAGTTTTTGTCTTTCTTGTACGAAGTGAAATGAGGCATGGTAAAACCTACGAGGTGGATATTTCTACTTAATCTTATCTGTGAATGGCAACCTACCTATATCGGTCACGTCTTTTCGAAATGTTTTGCCCATCGTCTCGACGAGTTGGAAGTTGAGCAATCACACAGTTAAAAGCCTTTCTACTTTCTCTAGATCTACCTCTGTTGGGGCAATGGTGCTTCTAGTTGCCCTCGACAGTGGTCTGCAAATGTGTGCTACTTTTCTTGAAGATCAGCCAGTCCATGCCACTGCTGCAATGCACGTTGTTCGTCTCTGGTTTGCGAGCATGCTATTTGTGGTTGCGCTTAGCATTGGCTACCAGTTACACTTAAGCTGGATTGTTCATGTGCTTCTTCTTGTTCCCTATGCTACTTGCTCCAATATAAGGTAGGAGGAACTCCCTATGAGCTAAGTCGCTAGTAGACACCATGCCTGGATTTAGGTATTGATTGTTCGTTAAAGCGGGTACTCAACAGTGAATGAGTACTTACTTATGGGCCTAGTAAGGAATAAACGCTTATCTACGCACTAAAGCGAGATAAAGTGTTACTTTAAGGGCCCAAGCTAGAGCGTACATTGCCTGAACACTTGGTCTTGGCTGGTTGAGCGGCTACTTCTAGGAATGCTACTGGAAAAAAACGTCATCGTCTATCATCGACCTGCTTCAGGATACTTCATCAGTAATGTGTTGTGCCTTGATGTGCTCCAAAAACTGCCTCACCAAGATTGTTTGATGGGTGAGGGCGCTTGTCAAATATGTAACCTGCCGGGACAAGTTGTGTTCCCCATTCAGTATGGAAAAGCTTGGATGGTAGGTATTTACATAAGCAGTGGAAGTGTAATGGACTATGTGTGTAATCGAGCCGAGACAGGTCAAATTTAGGAAAAATTAAGGCGAAAATATCCCTAGTTCAATCGTCGGTCTGATGGTCTGTCTCGTTGATCTGGGAACTTGGAGCCGAGTCGATTGAACCGACCTAAAACTGATATGAAAAGAAGGATGGGCTGCAGGAATGGCCTGGGCCATTGAAGCGTGATGGGCCGTTGGAATGGGCCAGGTTGTAATCTAGGCGCGCAGGCACTAGCCGGGTTAGCTAGGCCCACTTGGCCATATGTTGCGCTAGGTGCATGCTAGACTTGGGCCATAGTTCTTCCTAGCCCAGCTTGGGCCAACTCACCTGGTGCCTAGTTCTGATGTATGAGCTTGGGCTCTGCCTTGGTCCTCAATTGCTACTGCAACTTCTTAGACTAGGCCCTAGAAGGTCTAGGCTGGCGTTGTTGCATGTGCAGCGGACTAAGCTTAGCTCAGGGGGGCACCATAGGCCACTACAGTGGTTGCTGATCGTGTTGCCATGGTTGCAGTAGCAGCCCTACGGTGGCTATGGTTACTCCCCTTGCTGTGGTGAGTGTCAAGGAGCAATGGCGTTGGCCCACATTGCGATCTCCATTGTCCGGTACATATCCTTGACCATAAGATGTTCTGTTTGTCATGGTCTCAGAATTTTCTGCCTGTATTTCTTCTCCAGGGCTGTTCAAAGAACTTATAAAAAATTCTAAGAATAGAAACGAGCTGGAAAATTTACATATGTAACGGAGAAATGTAGAACGCGAATGTGAGAGCCTTTTTTGAGCGTTTGAATCAAGCTCTCAATGATAACATTAATTTATGGTAGCAAAAATCGCCATCTTCAGTCTTGATGAATATGTATCTACAAAACAAATAACACCTGATTAAGGCCAAAGCCACACGTGACCACGAGGTCGAAGAGAGGGTTGGCCAATAGATCTTTGATGCCTAAGTCAGTATCTCTTAAAATAGTGAGTGTTTAGGGCTTGTATGCCTAGTAAAAGCTTACCAAAGTTTTGGTGGAGATGAGGTATATAGAGGGAGGTGGTTGGCCTAGGTGTAGCGTTTTAATTTGCCTTATACATGGCAGCTTCCTATTGGCCAGGTGTCTCATCCGTAGGATTTATGAGGAAATAATATTCTTAATATATTAATTAGGAGATAATATCTTGGGATGAAGATGGAAGTGTCCTTGATTAATTATGATAGGATCCTTACTTGATTGAATTAACCTTTAATTGGGAATGTATTAAAGATAGGAATGGTGGTTAATCCTATCTTTAATGACTTTGACTTTTTCATGCCACGAGCATGAGAGCTTTGAGCACTCATGGTTAGCTTCTTGGATCTCCAAGGATGTTGAGCTGCACATGCGAATATTTATGTGCCTTGTCCATTTAACGAGAGCAATCTTGTCTTCTTCGTAAAAAAATCCACATATCATCTCCGAAATTTTTTAGATTGTTTTTAGTTCCACAACGTCGCACCATATTTCTAAGATATTGCTGCAAATCTTGAGATCTTTTGGTGATGTTTCTATGAATTTTTCAGGTGTGGTCTTTCTATATATATATAAATTTTTTTTTCCTTTTCTCCCACTGGTCTTCTCTTTAGTTGGGTTCTGCTTGAAAAAACCCCTTCCACAGGAGGGAAGGCATATAAAAACCAAAGGAACCGAATAACAATTCAAGGGGTCACTTAGCATTACGGTTTAGTGGTATTTTTTTTTATTTGTAAGTGAGAGGTCTTAAGTTTGATTCTCGTCAATGATGAATTTGAACCACATTATTACTAGCCCATTGTGAGACTTAGCACACTCCTCCTACCCGCTTAGTGTAGATAATATTGTTTGTTCAAATAACAAATAACAAATCAAAGACTTAATTAAAATTTTACAAACTCATCAAGATCAAGATCAATTAAAAATCAAAACAAAAATTTCATCTATGAAACTCCTTTCAATTCTTCAGTGAACTTAAACAATTTCAACAATCCTCTTAAGTTTTCTCAATCAAAACTAACTTCGATTTCTCATAGAGAATCCTAACACCTATCTCATTGCTACTTTTTGGTTTCACTGTTCTAGACTATGATTTCAATCGATTATTTCTGTTCGATCCCAATTCAAATTTGAAAGGACACTGAACCGTTTTTCTTCTTCTTCCTGTTGGGTATGAAGACCGAATGCAAAATGAACTTAAAGGAATAAAAAAAAAAAAAAATTAGCCTCACAAATGAGTTTCACATGCTAACCATTAACAGAGAATTGATAGAATTTTTAATTTATGATAACGGATTTCACTATAAAAGTTTAAATTCCAATTTTTTTTATCACATAGGCTATCTTCCGACTACCCTATTACCACATGGCCTATTAATCTAATTAGGCTTCTTTTTTCAAATTGCAAAAAGATATGGATGACTAGAGAATTGCAGCGTTTTGTATTCATCTGTACACTTTTAGGGTTTCGTAAAATTGATGAATAATGTTATTCATACATTGTTTTTGTATCACATTTTCATATCATCTGAGTTGGCATTTGATGTGGACAGCCACATCATTTGAATTAATCAGATTTTAAATTTAGTTCATTATTTAATAAACTAGTAATTAAGAAAAACTAGTTAATTAAATGATGATTGTGGTATACGAGGAGTCTTTCTTATACATTTCCTTAGGTTTTGCAAATTTTTCAAATGATGTAGCTGTCCACATCAGATGTCACCTAAGATGGTATAGAAATGTGATATAAAAACATGGTATGAATAGCATTACCCTTAATATATAAACACATTGTTCTATTTATTCAGTATGATTTCTTTGACTATCCTCTCAAAACAGCATCTTCAATCTTTCAAAAAGAAATATATCTTCAATGCTAAGTAGCATTGAGTGAATGTTATTTAAAAAAAAAAAAAAAAGGAACTTAATCTTAAGTTTATGGTAAACAATTTTTAAGTCACTACAAACATCCTAGATTGCGGACAGATAAGAAGAACCATTCTTGGAACTTTAACATTCTATTTTTTTTGGTCGAGTATGTTATCCCTCCCTGTAATTGATAGAACCAGTGCAGCTAAGAAACCACGCTCAATGGTTCAGGATGGATTTTTAAAATCCAGACTCCATAGGTACTGCTATGCACTTATGTCCCTCTCCATAATACAATTTCACAAATACAAACGTAACAGAAAAGCCGTGCAAAACTTAGCACAAAGCAGCATATCAACGCCTAAGTAGAAAAATAACGCTTACCAAGACAAAATTTTACATCACTTTCTGATGGACTTGTAAAATTAAGACTCATTTTCACAAATAAACTCTGCTATATGTAAGACATCAAAAGTTGATGGTATGAAAATACATATTTGAAGATATATAGTTTAAGTTCCACCATAAAATCAATTTAGCAATATGAGAAGCAAAGTAACTTACTTATAAGTTCATGGAAGATTTTTTTCTCCCATTAATGTAATATTCATTCTCAAAAATATTTTGTTTCCCAACCAGAAAAAGTATTAAATGCAGTCTTCAGTGCATGCTACACTTCAGCCAAAATACCTATGTTGGATTTATTTTCTAATTTTATTTACCAAAAACTGAAAACCTATGTCAGCATCTTTTCCAATGTAAACTTAAAATAAAACATTAATTATTCAATTTATGAACCAATCTTCAGTCCCCACCTATAACGAGACTACAAAATAATAAGATACAGGGTCAATAACATAACACAATCCAAGAGACAACTACTGGCATCACTTGTTACAAGAATGTGATCCCCTAACAATACTCTTATAAAAATACACTTGTATTTTATGTTGCATATTCAATTAATTAGTTTAATTAAAAAGGAATCAGATGCATTTTCTGACTACTTACACATGCATAATGTAACCCTTGTCGTGGAGAATTATATATTCCCTATATATTAATTTAATTATTATATGACAAGCTGTTAATTGATAAATTGAAGGCCACATAGTGTGTTCAGTTTGCTAAAGAATCTGGTTAGAAAACGTGGTCCTTCTAACATTACTCTTAACGGCTTGATCAACTGTGGTTTAACTAACTTCTCGTACCCTTCATGACAACCAAGCAACAAGGATGAACACCAACCGCAGGTCGCGTCATGGGAAAAGCTGTTGACCATGGCACTTTCTAATTAATCCATTTTCTACGTCTTTCAATCTCGATCTGTTGCCTTGATGTCGTCTAATATATAAACCCCTCACGCACACATACCCCTCATCTTCACCGAGCTACTCTCTCCTGTCTCTCTACTCCAGCTGGCCGGCGTGGTCTTGTAACGTAATTAGGTTCAAGAATTAATCAGGTATAATAACTAAGCAAGCTTGAGAAGAAGAAAGGGTAGGAATCATGGCAGGGGGATTCGGGGGCCCGACAGGCGGCGAAGATTTTGAAGGAAAGATCACGGCTATTGTGGTCATTTCGTGCATATTGGCCGCTAGCGGAGGCCTCATGTTTGGTTATGATATTGGCATTTCAGGTACTTATATAAAACCTACTATATGTTATATATGCACAACATTTTGCTTTGCTTCATGAATCAAAATTAAATCTGTTGTACATTTTAATTTGAATTTGATGTACCGTCTGATGCAGGTGGTGTTACATCCATGCCCGACTTCCTAAAGGAGTTCTTCCCGGTTGTATATAGGAAGCAACAAATTCCAGGACTTGAGAGCAATTACTGTAAATATGACAATCAAGGCCTGCAATTGTTCACATCTTCATTATACCTCGCTGCATTGACAGCAACCTTCTTTGCATCATACACAACCAGAGTTCTAGGCAGAAGGATGACCATGTTGATCGCCGGGGTTTTCTTCATAGTCGGAACTATTTTTAATGCTGCAGCTAAGAACCTTGCCATGCTCATTATTGGGAGGCTCTTACTTGGTTGCGGAGTTGGTTTTGCAAACCAGGTAAATACTAATTAATGATTGGTTATTCATGAATACTTAATTTGATCATATAGCGATTGTTTTTTTAATGATAACAGGCCGTACCACTTTTCCTTTCGGAGATTGCACCGACAAGAATTCGTGGAGCACTTAATTTGCTCTTCCAGCTCATGGTCACCATTGGCATTCTTGTAGCACAACTTATCAATTATGGAACTGCGAAGTAAGGCAGCGTTATTCTCCCTAAGAAACTTTTGTTTGTAATTGTATCGCCATTACGTGGTATTATTAGTCCATGAAGGTGGAAAATAAGTTTATACTACGTTCTCTAGTATTAATTAATCTTCATGCGATATAACAGTGGTGAACTACTAGTATTATGGTCACACCGAAAAAACTAATATGAATTAGATGTGTATGTTTGGGGGGGCTACAATTTTTGTATTTCGGTTTCTCTCCAAGTTCCCAACTACAATGTTTTGTGCTACCACATGCAGGATTAAAGGGGGATATGGATGGAGGATATCACTGGGTTTGGCTGGCGTTCCATCACTCTTGCTAACACTTGGGGCTGTCATTGTAACAGACACTCCAAACAGTTTGATCCAACGAGGTAAGTTGGAGCAAGGAAAAAAAGTTCTAAAGAGGATCCGGGGTATTGAGAATGTCGATCCGGAATTCCTTGAGATTCTCGAGGCAAGTCGCGCTGCTAAAGAAGTGAAGCATCCCTTCAGAAATCTCCTTAAGCGTAAAAACAGACCTCAACTGATCATTACAATTTTCTTGCAGGTCATTAAGTATTTCATTGCATTGTTTAATTTTATATCGTACTAAGTACTTTAATTGAATATTATATTGTCATCCTGGGAAAATTGAATTTCTATTAGAATAGAGTTTGGCTGCTGAAAAATCACCAACAGCTCCTATTGCTGACTAATTACAGATGGACATGTGTCCAAGTAATTGATTTTTTAATCACAGATTAGACACACGTCCATCTATGATTTGCTCGTAGCAGGAGTTGCTGATTTTTTCAGCAACCAAGGTCTTTCCTTTCTATTAAACTCTGATTTTAAAGTAGATTTTGACCTTGGTCCATCGGGTTGGTATATTATGGGAAAAGGATCCTTGCTGGATCCTTTTCATGGGGATTCCAGGAATCCTGTGATCATGTATGTTCATCATAAATCATACGGTTAGTTTTCATTAGGTACTATTTGTATTTAATTTAAAATTTAAAATTTAAAATGATTTCTGACAGCAAGATGTACGATGAACGGACATAATCACGGGATTCCCAGGAAAATGATCCAACGAGGATCATTTTCGTTGGATCATTTTCCGTATATTATTAGAATTATACACAGACATTGTTGAGAGTTGCCCCACGAGATATTTTTTACTAGGAACATAACCTAGTATATCAAGTGTAATAATACAATTAGTTGAAAACTTGAGAAAAGAAAATTGTCAACTAATTATATTATGACACTTAATTTACCTGATTGTGTTCCTAGCACATTGAAAAATTTTCCGTTGTCCCACAAGAGATTGTAGAGTGCGCCTGAAACATGGGTAGTACACCACATGTGATTATACAAGTGGAGGGACACTTGTAAATAAACTTCCCTCTACTTATATAAATAACATATAATATACCACCTCGTATTCTAAGCACAATAATAAATTTGTCCCTGCAAAATGAAAAAGAAAGCTTTAGTTTAAAAGTTTAAGTCATTTTAAATTGGATGTTCACATTTTGAAAGATGTGATGTTCATGTGTATGTAGATATGTTGTACCTATGTGTATAGTCCTTATAAGATCAAGGACAGCATGATATTTACCCAAAAAAAAAAAAAAAAAGGACAACATGACATATATCCCTAGTTTTAATGGCTAATTAACTCGTCAGAAGCAAATTTTCTCAAATTTTGGTAGTCTGAATCCTATATGTGGTAATGTTTTCTGCAGTTCTTCCAGCAATTCACAGGCATTAACTCAATCAATTTTTACGCTCCAGTTTTGTTCCAGACCTTGGGATTTAAGAATGATGCTTCCCTTTACTCATCAGTTATTACAGGCGTTATCATGGTTCTCGGAGCCATTATTTCAATTTACTTTGTCGACAAAGCTGGTCGCCGCGTGCTCTTGATTGAAGGTGGCATCCAAATGTTCCTCTCTCATGTGGTCGTTGCAATCATACTTGGGATGAAACTTAAGGATCAATCCAACGACCTCGATCGCGGCTTGGGAATTCTTGTGGTTATTGTAGTCTGTTCTTTTGTGGGTTCCTTTGGATGGTCTTGGGGGCCTCTTTGCTGGTTGGTTGCCAGTGAGATATTCCCTCTAGAGGCTCGCTCAGCCGGGCAGAGTGTGACTGTGTCTGTAAACATGTTGTTCACATTTGTTATAGCACAGGCCTTCCTCTCAATGCTTTGTCACATGAAGTTTGCTATTTTCTTATTCTTCGCAGCGTGGGTCTTCCTCATGACAGTCTTCGTCTTCTTTTTACTTCCGGAGACTAAAGGTGTCCCTATCGAAGAAATGGTAGACGTAGTGTGGAGGGAGCATTGGTATTGGAAGAGATATATGGATGACTGCGAAGATGATCCTAAGGGACATGCTTGAAGCATTGACCTCATTCAAGCAGCCTCCGAATGGCGGTTTTCCAATCAATTTTTTTTTTGCTTAATTTCCTCAATTGTAGGGCACATGCCAATTGTGCATGCATGCATTTCAATGTTTTTACTGTTTAAACTGTAACTTTTTTTTTATCAGTTTAATTTCCAGTATCCCTTCAAATAATTTCACTCTCTATTGTGCTTAATCTGCTTCTGTACTATTAAGTCTGCACCACAAGAATAAACATAATAAACAACCTACAAGTGGTAGAAAAGAGTAATGCTAGGAAGATCATATTTTAGTGTACTATATTATACATTCTAATAGAGGCAAGACTCGCTAATACAATTAAGTCTCACCTCTATTAGTGATATGGTATAATGTGGCATAAGAAAATGTGATACCCCTAGTATTTTTTTGGTAGAAAAAATATTAAAAAGGTTGGCAAATGCATGTCCTGTAATTGATTGAACAACTCACACCCTACTTGCTAATCTCTCTTGTATGGTTGTACCCGAGCCAGTCCTGTAGAATATAAGGATGCATGACAGTTTTAGTCAGTTGTTTTTTTCTTAGCTTTAGTTTTTTGGCACGGAAGGGAAATTCAAAACTCGAAACACCATCTAACAACATCGAGGGAGCATTTTAAATTCTAGTTCTAAACCTAGCTAGAGGTTTTCTTGGTGATTAGAGACACTTTTGTGATGAAAAGGGACGGTAGTTTGAACTTCAAGATTTGATCTTTGGACGTTAGGATTAATATATATCAAATAAATCACGTGATTTTATATCATACTACATATATGCTATCAAAGTTTTACATTTATGGCTGTCTTTCACTTTTTAGGGTGAACTGTCAATTTAGTTCTTAAATTATCACTTGAGTGAAAATTAGGTCCCTAAACTATTTTTTTTTTCAGAAAAATCAATCATTGAATTATACAAATCTGCCAATTACATCCCTAATATTAGATTCAAAGCTACTATATTCATTTTCCGTCAATTTAAGTCACATTACTTGCATGTGATACACATTTGAAGGTTGATAATTTCCATAAAAAATAGTGTATGGAGTTAACTTTGGAGGATAAATTAGACGTTATATTTGCTATCTATATGAAATGCTAAGGGCTTATAGGCGAGAAAATGACGTATTACACTCTAAAGTGTGCCAAGTAACCTAAGTTGACAAAAATTGGATAAAATAGCTTTGAATATAATAGTAGGGATGAATTTGTCCAAAAAAATAATAATAGTATGGATGAAATTAGCAAATTTTAATCAATTTAGGGACTTATTTTACCAAAAAAATTGTTTAGGAACCTAATTTTCAATAAGGTGATAATGAACTAAATTGACACTTCACCCTACTTTTTATGTTATGTCCAACTTTGTTTTTTTTTTTTTTTGGGTTACAAACAATTCTTTCACTCAACTCTCAATTGTTAAGACCAATTGAGAAGAGCACAAGAAATTAAGAACCAAAGCAGAATCAATTTCCAACCAAATAAAAGTTCAATCACGAACTGAAGCTGATTCAATAGCTTTAATTACTACTATTACCTATGCCACAACAGAGCTAGGAATTTCCAAGTTAGAACAAAAAGCGCTCCAAGGAATCGGTCTTTGAAACTCCGAAACACATTACCATAGCCAGCACTAGGCCTGACAATTATTGACACGATTCGATAACCCGACACGACACGACACAACATAAAATTAACAGGTGTTCAAGTCGACACGATAACGAATCGGGTCGTTATCGGGTAACCCGATAAGCACTTGTTAAGATAACGGGTTGGTTCGGGAATACACGTGGGTAACACAATACACCATAAGCAAATATTAATTTTATAATGTTATAATTTTATAATCCTAAAAAAATATTATAATAATTATATATTAATTTAACAATTTTATACCCCTAAAAACTACAGTAATTATATATATATATATATATATATATTAAATAAATATTAAAAATTGGTGACTACTGAATCGGCTTAAATATACATACTATTTAATTTCTTAAGTGTTATACGTACAAAATAAACAAATTTAAATCTACTTAATAAATATATATATATATATATATATATATATATATATAGACACCATTGAACTTGATGGGATACAAATTCTACAAAACTAATTTGAACAATCCAACCGTCAAACTTGTTTGTATATGCATCGAGATCGCATCAGCAAAAAATCGCAAACAACAAACATTCAGATATCAAGTAACTGGACAAAACTTTTCGACGGTTACCAACGAAAAATCACGATTTAACAGTTATTTTATCTCCGATTTTGATAATTTTTTATAGTTACACTCCTTGACCCTATATAAATACAATTAATGAATTCAATCTTCAATTTAAAATATTTACACCAGTGGATACCACAAAATCTTATGTTATATTTAATAAAAGTATGAATAAACTCTTAAGTGTTAGTGAATCTATTATTTTGATGGGACACGCATTCTACGAAACTAGATTCAACGATCCAACCGTCAAACTTGTTTGTATATATTTCGAGATCGCATACGCCAAAAATTGAAAAAAACAAACATTCAGGTATCAAGTAACGGGACAAAACTTTTCAACGGTTATCAACGAAAAATCACGATTTAACGGTTATTTTAACTATGATTTTGATGATTTTTTATAGCTACACTCCTTGACCCTATATGAATACAATGAATGAACTCGATCTTCAATTAAAATATTTACACTAGTGGATACCACAAAATCTTATGTTATACTTAATGAAAGTATGAATAAAATCTTAAGTGTTAGTGAATCTATTGTTTTCATGGGATATGCATTCTACGAAACTAATTTCAACGATCCAACCGTTAAACATGTTTGTATATGCTTTGAGATCGCATATGTCAAAAATTGCAAAAAGCAAACATTCAGATATTAAGTAACGGAACAAAACTTTTTGACGGTTATCAACAAAAAATCACGATTTAACGGTTATTTTAACTCAAATTTTGATGATTTTTTACAGCTATAGTCCTTGACCCTATATGAATATAATGAATGAACTCAATTTTCAATTTAAAATATTTACACTAGTGAATACCATAAAATTTTATGTTACACTTAATGAAAGTATGAATAAACTCTTAAGTGTTAGTGAATTTATCCTTTTGATGGGATATGCATTCTACGAAACTAATTTCAACGATCCAACCGTCAAACTTGTTTGTATATATTTCGAGATCGCATGCATTAAAAATCACAAAAAACAAACATTCAAAGATCAAGTAACGGGACAAAACTTTTTGACGGTTATCAACGAAAAGTCACGATTTAACGATTAATTTAACTCCGATTTTGATGATTTTTTACAGCTACACTCCTTGACCTTATATGAATACAATGAATGAACTCGATCTTCAATTTAAAATATTTACACTAGCGGATACCACAAAATCTTATGTTATACTTAATGAAAGTATAAACAAACTCTTAAGTGTTAGTGAATCTATTGTTTTGATGAGATACGCATTCTACGAAACTAGTTTCAACAATCCAACCGTCAAACATGTTTGTATATACTTCGAGATCGCATATGCCACAAATTGCAAAAAGCAAACATTCAGAGATCAAATAACGGGAGAAAACTTTTCGACGGTTATCAATGAAAAATCACGATTTAACGGTTATTTAACTTCGATTTTGATGATTTTTACTAGTGGATACCACAAAATCTTATGTTATACTTAATGAAAGTATGAATAAACTCTCAAGTGTTAGTGAATTTATCGTTTTGATGGGATACGCATTCTACGAAACTAATTTCAACGATCCAACCGTCAAACTTGTTTGTATATACTTCGAGATCGCATACGCTAAAAATCACAAAAAAAAAACATTCAAAGATCAAGTAACAAGACAAAACTTTTCGACGGTTATCAATGAAAAATCACGATTTAACGGTTATTTTAACTCCAATTTTGATGATTTTTTACAGCTACACTCCTTGACTCTAAACGAATACAATGAATCGACTTGATCTTAAATTTAAAATATTTACACTAGTGGATACCACAAAATCTTATGTTGTACTTAATGAAAGTATAAACAAACTCTCAAGTGTTAGTGAATCTATTGTTTTGATGGGATACGCATTCTACGAAACTAGTTTCAACGATCCAACCGTCAAACATGTTTGTATATACTTCGAGATCGCATATGCCAAAAATTACAAAAAACAAACATTCAAAGATCAAGCAACGGAACAAAACTTTTCAACTGTTTTCAACGAAAAATCATGATTTAACGATTATTTTAACTCTGATTTTGATGATTTTGTACAGCTACACTCCTTGACCCTATATGAATACAATGAATGAATACGATCTTCAATTTAAAATATTTACACTAGTGGATACCACAAAATCTTATGTCATGATGATCGATGAAAATTGAGGATTTTGTAAAAGGAATAACATGCAAGCTTTGAGTTCCATTGGCAAGGTTTAAACTTTTGAGAAAGGTTTCACAACTTTGAAAACAAAAAATCTTTCATTTTGCATATCCTTGCACATTTAATATTTTGTAATAAATTAGTAGTGTATGAATGTTTGTTTATTACTCTTATGTTCAAGTGTAGATGTAGTACTTAAATGACAAATGTGTTTTAATATTTTGAAGTAATATTTATGTGGCAATGTGTGGTATGTGCAAATTTAAGAAGAAGAAAAAATACATTTTTCTTAACGGGTCATAGCGGGTCATAATGGATCGGGTCACTTTACCCGTTGGGTAAAGTGACCCGACGTTAAAGAACCGTTAAGATAAAGGGTATGACACGACACGACCCGTTAAGATAACAGGTATTACACGAAAACGACACCAACACGACAGACACGACCCATTTGCCAGGCCTAGCTAGCACGACCGGAACCACTCTTCCAAGCACCATTAGGGTTGGGCACAGTTCGGCTCGGTGCAGTTTAGAGTGAGACCGAAACTGAAATTTTTGCGGTTCGATTTGGTGTAGTTTTGAAGCCAAAACCGAAATGAAATCAAATCGTTTAGTTCAGTTCGGTTCAATTCGGTGCGGTTTCAACGGTTTCGGTTTGGATTCAAACCATTAATTACATACAAAATTAAAAAGTAAGAAGAGCACCTAAACTGAAGGGGAAAAGG